AAGTCCATGTTAATAGAATCCTAAATTTCAAGTAAACAAAAATTACATGTGGATTGACTTCTTTGCTTCTTTTTTTGCCTTTATTTTAAATTTATAAAGGTGATTTTATTTTAAATTCATGGGAATTCATGAATGCATACTGGTCAAAATATTCTGCAACCAACAACTAAATTAATAATGGAAATCCTTCATCACCCAACCCAACAGCATAGAAGTAAGAAAAGTGGGTAGTGTTTGTCTGCCTGTTTTGTCAGAGCCATAAATTCAGCAACTGGAATAACCTATGGCACATGCAGATGTTCACAAATATTCATCAAATGAATTAATTCCCATTCTTCAAGCTATTTGTGTACATTTGAATATATGCTCAACACGTAAGTAACCATTATGTACTATCCTAGGACTCCTATTCTTATTTTAAAAAAATCCCTAATTTATGAGGTTTTTTTGAGGGAGGTTTGATTTTTCAAGACAGGGGCTTGCTATGTGTTTCAGCTGGTCTCAAACTCACAGAGATCCTCCTGTCTCAGCCTCCCAAGAATTGGGATTACAGACATGTGCTGCTATACCCAGTCTCACTATTTTTAATGACTACATCATTTTTTTGTTTATTCTTTATTTTGTGTCCAGTTTTCACTACTGTAACCAGTGCTGCAATGATTATCCTTTAAATTTTAGGCTTATGTACACAATGGAAATTTGTGGGGCTTAGGGCCTATGGATCTAAATCAGAGCTTCCCACACAGGAAGCCACTAGGCAAGGGCTCTCCTCCTGAACTACACCCTGAACCCTTACATGCAAACATTTTTGAAGAGTAGATTTCTAGAAATGGAATTTCTAGGCCAATAGTATGTCAGCATTTAAAAGTTAGTGTATAGCTCTAGATTGCCATTAAAATCCTTCCATTATTTCCATACCAATGGTAGATTGCCATGGCAAACAGAAACACCAAAAGAACACCCTGACTTGGAGGTATTGATCAGGATCATTCCCAAAATGTCAGGTCCTGATGGCTTGTAGTCTAGGGCTTATACGGGATAAGCAAGCAGGAAGGACAGAGGCAGAATGGATGTCAGTTGGGGATTGGTTTATACAACATGCATCACGTGATCAGCTGCTGATTTTTTTTTGTGTATGGAACCAGGGATTGAACTCAGGTCCTTTCGCTTGCTAGGCACGTGCTTATTCCACTGAGCCATCTCCCCGACCCCTACCAGCTGCTTTTAAGAGACAAAAGTAATTGAAACTGCAACAAGGATCATCAGCTGGGCAACTAAGCAACTCAAGTATGCTGGTTGGGAAGGAGGACCTTTTCCTTTACAATATAAGATTATAAATCATCTTAAAACTTAGTACCCTTTAAGAAAATGATGGATGAAAATGACATTTATAAAATTCTTGCTTACATTTCCTTGATTTCCACAAAGCAAGAACAACTTCTCATGTGCTTTTTAGACATATCTATTATTTGTGTTTGTATACATTCCCAATGGACAAACTTAGGTTACCTTTTTCTTATTGACTCCTAAGTGATCTTTCTATATTGTAGCTAATAACCTTCGCTTGTTATCCATGTTGGACAAAATGCTCGCTGCTAATGGGATCGAACATCTTTCACAAGCAATTTTAATTGTGTCCACTTACATTTACGAAATTTGTTCCATGTATTGTGGGTTTTCTGTCATGCGTAGGTGCATCTTTAAGGGGTTTTACTGTTTATTTCATACGTTGTTCTATTTTGAATTGTGTGTGATATGAGTAAACTACCTCTTTTTCTAAATCAATATCAAGGGTCACGCTGTTGGTATTAGGTGTATTACGAATTATATATTTTGGAATTAAGTATTTATCTAACTTTGCAACTTTTTCTGTAGTTGTTCATTCGGTAATTCAGCTTAACAACTCCTGCTAGTCATGGTCTTTTATGTTTCCCTGAGAAAGTGTCTTTTTCATCCTGTTTTTCACAGTTAGTAGCACATACCTAGGACTCTGGAATGGCTGAAGGATCCTTTGAATAAGACCCCAAAAGCAAGAAAACCATAGCGAATATAGACAAATGAGTCTGTCAAACTAAAAGGCTTCTTCAATACCAGGAAAAAAAAAAGTGATGGAGTAAAGAAATTAAACAAGGGGTGAGAAAAACATATTTTCAAAATATATATCTAAAAAATGAATATTATCTAAAACATATAAGAAACTCTAAAAGCCCAATAGCAAAATAAGTAATCTCATTATAAAACAAGCAGTAGACATTTCTCCAAAGAAGATGTACAAATGCTCAAATAATATACAAAAATCTGCTCAACATCACTAATCTTCAGAAAAATATAAATCAAATCTGCCATGAGATATTGCCTCATCTTAGTGATACCAACAGTTATTAAAGAGACAAAAGATAACAAGAGCTGGTGAGAATGTGGAGAAAATAGAATTACTATGGGTGGGAATGTAAATTATTACAAATGTTACAGGGAACTGGAATGCACTCCCATAATCCCAGCACTTGGGAGGCTGAGGTAGAAGGATTGTCTAAAGTTCAAGCCCAGTTTGGGCAGCATAATGAGTTCAATGCCAGCCTGAACTGGATGGCAAGATTCTGTCTGTAGATAGATAGATGATAGATAGATAGATAGATAGATAGATAGATAGATAGATAGATAGATAGAGACAAATTGATAGACAGATGATAGATGTATGTATGTATGCATACATGTATGCATTATGGGTAAAAGTGTTGAGATTCCTTAAAGAGTTAAAGACATTGTATGTGCCAGCGAGAGAGCTCAGTGGCTTAACCATATCTGCCTGGCAAGGACAAGGTCCTCAACTTGATCCCTGGAAAAAAAAAAAAAAAAAAAAATCATGTGCTATTTCCCTTATTTTTCATCTTTAGTCACTAGTTCAGTAGACAGTCCAATAATAAACAATAGTTTATAAAGATTAAAAAAAATTCAATTCAATTAAAGGTGAAACTATTCATTATCTCAGCAGTCAGTATATATCTAAAGGAAAGGAAATCTTTTGTCAAAGAAACTTCTGCACGCCTCTGTTTACTGCAGCGCTGCTCACTACAGCTGCGAGATGGAGGCAAATGAAGTGTCCATCAGTGGGTAAATACAGAAAATGAGGTAAATGTACAGACAGTATTTAGGACAGTATTTAGTCCTACGAACAAATGAATCCTGAGACAATAGGGTAGAACTCGAGATTATTATGCTAAATGAAATAAACCAGAACAGAAAGATGTACTTCGTGATCATATGTGGAATACTGGAAAAGAAGTTGATCCCAGAGAAGTGGGAGTGGGACAGTGATCATCAGAGGCTGGGGAGAGGAGTGGGGGAGACAGAAGTGGGGAGAAGTTGAGGTGGATGGACAGGTACTGGTTATAGTTAGGTAGGTGCAAGGCATTCTGGAGTGCTGCTTTAGGATAACTAGAGATAATAATGTGCACTGTATTTCAAAAAGCTAAAAGGAAAGATTTTTGAATGGTTTTACAATGAAAGTGTTTTGGTTTGGTTTGGATTAGGGATTTTTATTCATTTTGCACCAGTGAGGATTAAACCATGCCTTTGCACTGAGCTGCACCCCCAGCACTTTTTAAAACTTTTTTTTTTATTTTGAGACAGAGTCTCACTAAATTGCTAAGATACCCACACTAAGTTTGAACTCTTCACCTCAACCTCTCAGAGAACTGGAATTCCAAGTGTGTACAAGGCTGAGAACTTTGAAATATTTGAGTTGCTAGATTTTCCTGATTTAGACAGCAGATAACGTACAATTGTTATCCAAACATCACCTGGTACTCTATAAATATGCATGACTTTTATATTTCACCCATCAGTTTAAAAAACAAATATAGGGCTGGGGAGATAGCTAGCAGTCTAAGCGCCTGCCTGGCCAAGCGCTAGAACTTGAGTTTGATCCCCCATATTGCATGCCATGTGGACCCTGGAGCCCCGGATGTACCGTGCTGGGCACCAAAACTGGGCGTGGTG